TAAGTTTTTCGGGTGGAAGACGTCTCGCTTTTTCTGTAATTGGAGGGCCTTTAGTTACTATGTAATGTTGAACTCGATGCTTTGTACTATTGGTGAAGTTTGGCTTGGTGATCGCCACGAATTTCCTTAGCAGCTCGTGACATCCATTATTGCTATTGATTGTAGTAATTGTGGGGTGACTGGAATTGCTAATTTCACCTCTGCTAGAAAGTTGCGTTTTGCCATCAATCAATTTTTTATTTTTTATGTCCACCAGTAAATTATAATATCCTAGGAAATCTACTCCCAAAATTGCTCTTGTTGTTTTTRCAACTGTGAACTTCCATATAAATTGTCTACGTAAGCCTAGGTTTATGGAAAGTACTTTTTTACCATACGTATGAATGGTTGAACCGTTTGCAGCATATARGTTATATTCGCTGTCTAATGTTCTCCTGTCACCAGATGTTTTTGGGATAACAGATATATCAGCGCCTGTGTCTATCAAAAATCTTATTCCGGATATTCTGTCTGGAATTATGAGGCGGCTTTGTCTCTGTGCACCATCTCCAATCGCCTCAATATTAGATGGTGTATCYAGTTTCCCTGTTTTCGCTGATCTGGGACGGTCCAGTTACAAGGTCTACGACATCTCCATGACTTTTCGCCAAATTTTGCATGGAAATAGCATGGTCTATTCCTATYACGACTCCTAGATCTTGATCTATTCCTGGAATGATAAACTGGTCGATTATATCGTCTRCCATGATATTTACCTCTTACTAAGGTTTCCAGGTGGGCCATTTTTTCTGTGAGCTGTGCCATTTCGTCRTGTAGTTTTCTATCTTGTGTTTCGTCTCCCGAGCTTTTGTCAACTATGGTTGCTACCTCATAATGCCCTGTTCTTTCTATTGTTTTATCGGCTAGGGKTGCTAGACGTTCGAGACCAACGTCTTCTACGACTGCTAGTACTTCCTGTATTCTCGTTGGCAATCTCTGTAACCATAGGGTTTGTAGGACTTGGGTACTTACATTGTCTCCTGCTAATAATTTCATTTCTCTTAGCAGAACTGAAGGTTTTTTGTTCTGTAGCTCCAAGCCTGTAAGGAGTTGTCGAAATTTTGATTCTTCCGACGCTGTTAAGCGTGTGATCAATGCCTCCTTTATTTCAGTATATGAATCGTTAGACGTGGTGGCAATTATGTCCGCCACAATTTTCAAGGTCGSMACRTCCARATGTCGGACAACTGCTGCGCTTTTTACGGCATCAGAGCGTACATTATAAGCTGCGAATTCACGCTCTAGCATCATGAACCATAGC